CACGCACAAACTCTTTTGAATCCATTTTATAATCCGTTTTATTAAAAAAAAAAAAAAAAAAAAAAAAAAAAATCCCTTTATTTTCTCCGTACGTACAGGTGTCACGCAACTACATCGTTCAAATTCGAAAGCGGTCAAAATGGGTATTTTGGTTGAAATATGATACCCGAAATTTTTTGCGATTACATACTTCATTTACTTAGTACAAGGAAGTAAAAAATATATTGATATAAATACTTTCCTTTAAAAAGTATTTTCTTTGTATTTTTTGGAAATAAATACTATTTTCAGATGGTTTCTTTGTATTTTATTCATTTGTATTTTGAAATTTTTCAATTAATTACGATTGATTGCCAAGCATAACATTTAATATTTAATTAATTAATTAATTGAACAGTTGCATTTGAGAATAGAGTCGAAATCTAGTTATCTGGTTCGGTTGTTCTTCTGTTTAGATCAAGCAAAATCAAGTCTTTTTGTTAATTTATTTACGCGTTTCTAATTATTTTTGTTTATTTAAATAATATGAAGCTGCACAGTGAAGTTCACAATTATGCTATAAAAGCGACTACATTAATTTAAGTATTTTTTTTTTTTTTTTTTTTTTTTTTTCCAATCTGTCTTCCATGGAGTCTTGAAACATTTTGCCTTTCTAGACGTTCTGCGAATCAAAATCAAAATTTAAAAGAATTTTTGAATACAACAAATGTCATAAAACTAATCATCTAAAAATGGTTGAACAGATACTTTTCGGAAGATGGTTTGTGTTCAACTCGAAATAATTATAGATTTAGGCAGTCCCCGAATTAATAAAGTTTAAAGATCGTTGTGTATACAGTGAATATATGTAAAATGGAAAGTAAAAACTAACAAAAAAAAAAAAAAAAAAAAAAAAAAAAAAAAATCTGAAGGCTTTCAGATTTTATATTACGCCCAAAGGGGTGATTTTTTCATTTACACACACATACACGTTTTGAGAGCATTACGTCCCTTTTTGTTTTGAGTTTTAAGAGCTAACGCCCCCTTTGGTCTAAAAATATTTCACAGCATTTCTTTAGAATTCCCGACAGACAGTCTCGCGCGCTGAAGATAAAAATATTATTCCTCACAGTGTTACCACTTCTCACTTTGAAATCGTTGAGTTTGTTCATCAAAAATTCGTTCAAGTTTTACATAATACGAAATAGATAATAAAACAAATTCAAAATTCGGGTTTCCGGATGCCCATTTTTGGGTGGAGGACTACGCTATTCAAAACTTGATGGCTGCAGGTACCGTTATGTTTACACATTGAGAGAAACATACATACATTCATGCAGATTCTTCATTATTTAATTTCTTTAAATATATTACAGGGCGATAATATTTGGTAGCAACAATTTGATACATGATTCGACGCAAAATAGCCTTTCGAGACTAATAACCCTTCTGAGCTAACGCCGCTTTGGGCTAAAAATGATACAGTTTCCTATTATCCAAAATATTGGAATATCTGGGTGGCTGACTAACTAGGCTGAAATCCTAGCAATCAGGATATCGTGTACATTAATAAAGTAATTGATTCTGTCTTATGCGTAATTACCGTACGAAAAAAATGGAAGACCGCCAGACTAGATGCGAAAACTTTTGTTGCGCTCTTTAATAACTCTTCATACAGGACATAAGATAACTGAAAAAGATAGAACAATTTTAAAGTTATTTGAAAGTAGAGTTAAAGAAGAATTTTTTGAAGTCTGCTATATTAAACTGAAGCTTACGCGCAAGAATATTCGAAGCGTACGAACTTGTAACTCAACTTGAATTGTATGAGCTAATATTAGATCACGGGGTAGATTCACTATCAGTGATTCTATTTAACGGAAGGAGTTCCGGTGCCAACTTGCGTCTCCTGTTTTCACTCTTTCGGTTTTAGGAAATACTTCTCGAACACTCAGACCGCAAACGTAAATGTAAAATGGAATTTTAAGAATAGAGTGGGATTTTGCGTTACCGATTACTGGTCAGGTGTGAACAAAATGTCGAATCTTCCCACCGTCGTGCGTGGCATGTCAGCCTTCATGCAAGATCACCAGGTGTCTTTCGTGAATGGATTACTAGTAGTTTTCACTGTGGGTGGCGAACAGATTTTTCGATTTGCTGCGTTCAGGTGCCCCTGCCAGCAACCTGTAGCGTTCGCCTACGCTTTCAGTTTCATGATTGGTCCAGCTCTTGTCCTGGGGATGATTGGTATGAAGTTATTGACAGTTTTTATTAGAAACAAATGAAAATATATTTAATAAATTTAATCCATAATTTAAAATAACTTAGAAGTAGAATAATAAGTAGAGATTTTGGAAGATTGGTATGTACTCCAAGTACAACTAAATTCCACTTATCAATATTTCAGGTATTCAAAATTCAGATTTTCCGGATGGCTTACTTTTCCGTGTGTCGAGCGACGTATAATTAATGTCATAATTTAACTAACGACTAAATTTTTTTCTTTCAACATTATTTATTTTTTGAACTTCTTACGATTAAATTCAAGTATGCTTACGGTGTATTTTAAAAATAATATTTTGCAAATTGTCCTACTGCAATAATCTTATGCTTACGGCGAATTTTAAAAATAATATTTTGCAAATTGTCCTACTGCAATAATCTTATGTTTACGGTGTATTTTAAAAATAATATTTTGCAAATTATCCTGCTGCAATAATCTTTAAATTTGATTGATTCGGCGAACTTCTATAATCCTTGGAAAAGTAAGCGTTAATAACAATAAATAAATAAAAATAATAATAATAAAGGTTTTTTTTTAAAAAAACAAGCTTTTGTTTAAAACTCATAAAGTGATCCGTTTTCATTGAAAGTGGTTTCATTTTTGACAAAAAGTTATTTGATGATGATAATAATGAATGCAATCTGCTATAAGCTTTTTATCATTTCTTCCCCCCCCCCAAAAAAAAATCCTTCAAAATTTTCATTATTTTATCAAAATAAATTTACGTAGTTAGTTAAATTACAAATGTAATTACTTAGAAAAAAAGGTAAAGTTACTTTCCACAAAGACGTAATATTTATTTATATCTGATTTTCACATTTTGTTGACTTTGAAAGTGGTCTAACTCCACTGGAGCTCATGTAAAGTGTAATTTTTTAAAACTAATATTTTAAAAACGATCACATTATAAATTTAAATCAATTTATTATTTAAAAACATAAAATGAGCGTATTAACATATATCAATAATTTTAAATCATATAAAATGGACTTGCACCACTTTCAAAGAAAACGACTTAAATAATTAATAAAATAAACAGAGAAAAAAAATTATCATATAGTTTAATGGGAAAAACAAATTAAATAACTTTCCTTACAGAATTCATCTACAATTTTAGGACTCGAGTAATGAAAGCGTGGTGTCCTTTTTATAAATTTATAAATATAATGACTTATATTTTTGACAATGCATTTAATAGATTTCGTTATTTAGCACCCACGCTTTTATATTCTTGATATAAAATTGTAGATGAACTCTATAAAAAGAATTATTTAATTTACTTTTCCCATTAAACTATATAGTAAATTACTTTTCTCCTTTTCTTTGGTTAATTATGTTATAAGTTTTAAATAAAAGCTTGTTTTAAAAAAAAAATCTTTTTATTAGTATTTTAATTGTTATCTTTTTATTAGTATTTTAATTGTTATCTTTTTAATCTCAATGAAATTTAATCAAATTATTCAATTAAAATGTTTTTCAATAACGACTAATCACTCTTCTACTTCCAACAATTCTGTTACAATAAATGGTGTTATTGCAATTATGCGAAAACATTAGAAATTATGTTAGAAATCTTCCACAAGCTTCATTTTAAAGAATTTACTCTTTTCTACTCTATCCGAGGACGCAAACAATAAAATTATGAGAATTCTTGTTCGTTCAGTAAACGAAGATATGTGTGAAAATTTATTTCAAGATTAAATTTAAAACCCTCTAAATCAAATTTTGAAAACATCGTTTCACCACATTGTATTGTCATCCATAATGAGAGTGTGTGCAAATTTTGAGTCCATAGTTTGTTAGAAAACAGTTTAAAAGTCGAAGGCAAAGTTTTGAACATATTGACAAACACATGAGAAAGCAGTAAAAGTTTATAAAAATGCCGTTTTGAAAAACATTCTAGAAATTCGCATAATTAGTATTGCTTTATCATTCTTATTTTAAAAGAGAGTGAAGAGTTTATAAGGTATTTCTCCCGGTATATAAGGTATTTTCTTCTTAGCATGCCTTCGTGGTGTAGTGGTCAGCACATTCGGCGCGTATTCGAGAGATCCGTGGTTCGAGTCTCGCCAAGGGCATTGTTCATTTTCTTCAGTTTCTTGACATCGAAAAAATTATAAAATGACTCTGCAGACTGCCTATAAAAGTACGAAATTGAAAGTACAATTCACAATATCCCATAAATAATTGGTTGGAATTTCCCGTTTCAGAAATACTGAAATACTATCTGGAATACTGTGAAAATCAACCGTGATATTTATAAAACGGCAAAATATTTTTGGAATATAATGCATCTTTTTAAAATATTTATTAAAATCGTTAATGCTTCAGTTTTAGGTATCCAGGAAATTCTTTTAGTACAAAGTAAATTCTAATTATTTTTAGATGCATTAAATTGAGGTCACTTCAAATGTGTACTTCCAAAGAATGAAACACTAAAAAAAATATTATTTAGAAAAAAATGAAGTTAAGTGTTTTCTGACCGAAGGATTTAATATTATTTTTCTTCGCCATTTAACTTAAACGAGATTTTTCTCTAATTTAATTCGAATAAGAAATGGAATTGTTATGTAATTCTAAAGCTGTTCGGCGGGAAATGGTGCCTCCGTGGCGGGTATAAGAAATGCGCGCGCAGCAATGAATGAGTCGCAGAGTAAACAACAATACGCTCTTTAATTATTCGCTTTTGCATGCATGAAAATTATGAAAGCTTCAGTGAGACTTTTAAAACTTTTACACTGTTTGAAAGTCAAATAAATTCGTAAAGTTGTAAAGAAAGTGAGAAACTGCAACGATTGGTTATTGATCCGAATTCAGTATGTCTGCTATTTCTCCCATTCTGGGTGGCTTGTCATCTTTCTTGCAAAATCATCAAGTATCTTTTACGAACGGAGTATTAATAGTATTTACTATTGGCGGTGAAAAGATCTTTCGCTTTGCTTCGTTTAAATGCCCTTGTCAGCAACCTTTGGCATCTGTATACGGTAGCAGCTTTATGATTGGCCCAGCTGTTATCATAGGAGTCATAGGTATGTCATATTATATTAGATACTTATTATTGAAAAGTTAATCGAATAGTGAGTTTAAGATAAATCTGAAATTTAATCATATCTCTAATAGGAAAATCTTCCCTGTTTAGATCTATGTTTATGGCTTCTAATCTCTCTGTATAAAATAAAAATTTTAGCTTAAAATTGCTTCATACGATTTTTAGTTGCCGCGAGAAAATAAAATAAATACCATATTGCGTATTTTTCACCTTTCCCTATCTAATTTTACCGCTTAAAAATAGAGACGAGAAAATTATGCAATGTATACTATTTTCGAAGTGACAGCTTAAATGATAAACATAGCACATTCAAAAAGCGCACATAAAGACTAATGGTATATATTTCAAAGAACTTATCAGTTTTAAAAATATTCTTTTTAATTACAAAAAATACTTTCGTGTTGGTGCCAACATTTTACATTGCTGCCATAAATCAGAAGTTTGTAGATCATATGCAACAAAACCTACGGGGGAATATGCGAGTAAATACAGTCAGTCAAACGATGGCCCTAAAAATCGACGAATAATTGCAAACTACGTGGCATCTATAATGTATCTTTTGAACTGGAGTAATATATTTTTTATCAGTGCGACGCATATATTAAGATGTTTATAACGCATGTATTAATATATTTATTTTTCTAGAACGGTAGCAAGATTCTTTATAAAGCGCTTAACCATTAACTTTTCAACAGCGTCATATGTTAGATGGTTTCATTATTTTTTAATAAACATCATTATTATAATTATTTACGCTCGTTAAATGCACAAACCTGAAGAAAGGATATCAAGTCACATTTCGTATGATAGTAAAGTCGCCTTACCAACTTAAGGAGAACAACCCTCCTTAGTATTATCTGATGCCATTAAAAAATGAGAATTCTGGTATAATGTTTATGCCTATTTGCAAAACATTTTTCTATTTATATTTGTAGAGACCTTGGGTATTTTTTGAAAGCAGGAGAGATGATTCATGAGCAATAATGCCCTCGCCGGGACTCGAACCTCTCAGTTACGTGCCGAATGTGCTGATCACTACACCACGAAGGCATGCTAAGAAGGAGAGAAAAATGCCTTATTTAAAAATGATTGCTTCTTTTTTCTTGAAGTGCTCATTTAAATCATCCATCTCAAACGGTTACGAACGTTTGCCATTATTTTTATTTGCCTATCATTAAATTACAAATTCCAAATATTCCTGTGGGAAGGACAAAAAAACTATTTTGTGCGTCTTATTCTTCTGGAATCATTGAAATAGTAACACAAGAGTAAAAATATATAATTTCGAAGTTAGAATCTAATGAGTAATAAAATGAGTGTTTAAGTGCGAAGGTAATCGATTTTTCGTCTCCTTTTGATGTTCAGTTTTTGAAAATGCAATTTTTGTGAAGGTCTAAGACTTAGCATTTGCGCATAAAAAATTTTCGCTTTCCCTGCATTCGGAGGATCGAGAGTTCGAGTCCTGGCGACGGCAGAGCAATTTTTTTGTTTCTTGTTACAGATAAATACCTAATAATTCTATTTGCGTGCTAGAGTATTTTCCTCTTGTTAAGATTTCAGATTAAGATCAATACAATATGAATGAATATTCAATTTTTAGTTACTATTAAATCAATTTACAATTACTAATTTTGGTGGAAATAATTGCTTTAGTTATAATTAAATTACTGAGTTTCGAATGTAGATGTACTTACTGACGAAAGTCTATCATGCATCGGTAGGAATTTTTTCATCAGACTATTAAACGCTAAATGACGTTGGAATAAAATTCTAATTTATCGCGAATGCGAATCAAAATATTTTTCGCATCCGTTTTACCAGAGTTACTACCGGAAGTCGGACACCGTTACACCTTTTGAGTGCCTTATAGCCTTGATTATTTACAGATTGCTTTATGTACTACACAGCCTTTCATTCAAATATATGCATGGAAGGGTTTCGATTTATGCAATATTCAAAGTTTATATAAATAAGTAAATATAAGCAAATGTAGAGAGATATTACCATTGTTGTGACATTGAAAAAAATTACCGCATTCCTCCGTGCGTGCTATTGTAGTGTAACTGGTCAGCAAATGAAAGATCCAAGGTTTAAATCTTGGTAAAGGCAAGGGAGATGTTTCATTTTTCCATATCAGAAACGTTAAATGGTTTCTACATTGGCCCCTGAACTAAATGCGGTAGAGGAAAATTCGTCACTATCTGAATTGTGCTCACTAAATCTGTTACCTCCTTAAATATAGAAAATGTAAGGAATCGTCAAATTTCCCATTACTTGCTTTGCTGTGAAAAATGTGCTGCTAAAATAAGAAGAATAAGTTCGAATTCTGGTGACTGCTCGACTGAGTTTTCACATTTGCTTACTAAAATTTCCACTGGTCTCTGCAAATTATTTCAAGAGGCTAGTTTCAGCGTATTCGTCATAATAAGTTACAGTGGAACCTTGGATCCTGAACAACTCGATTCGCAATAAATTAGAATTTTATTCCAACTTAAATTTTCCAGACGAAAAATATCTTGGATGGCGAACGATATCTTGAGATACGAACAAGTAACCCGGCAGTAAATGGTACTCCAAAATGCAATTAATGTTATAAGGTATTTTCTCCCTATTTTCCGCATGACTTCGTGCTGCAGTTGGAAGCATACTCGACGCGTGGTCAAGAGGTCCAGGGTTCGACTCTCGGCGAGAGTACTGCACATTTGTCACGTCTCCAGCTTCAAAATAAGCTACAGTGACTCTGCAATGTAGGGGAGGAAATGTGTTTCAGAAGAAGACGGAAATAGAAAATGTTCTTAATTATTGGACCAGCAAAATTTGTGCAAGTTAGGGTAAGGTGAAAAAGCTCATAGAATTCTATCACCTTGATAAGCAGTAGCATAGCATTTGTAATGACAGTGCCATGTCTTGATGAACATTTCAAAACGTAGACTGAAATAAATTGCATTGAACAAATTTTTAGTTGGAAAAAGGCGTAGAGATTCTGATGCAGAGGTTAGCGGTAGCGATATTAAGATAAAGAGAAAAAGAAATAAAAGGAAAAAATGAGAAGGACAGCAGCTATCTTACATTTTTAAGGAATCGGATTTCTTTTTGAAACAACAGCATTTTGCGCCTTCGGCTTTTTTATCGTTTTCTACTTACGGCGTCAACTTTCCTTTGTAAAGATACGGTAAACGGTAAAATGTAACTCAGGTTTCCCTATTTTGTATGTGTCCAGTATTGTGTTAAATAATGTGTAAGTGTTAGATTTGTAAGATATGTCTTTGCTATTCCACATAAAGTAAATTTAGATCCTACAGTGAACCCGCGGAATTCTCGCACAGGCCTGAATAAATTACCGTCACAGAAGAAGGGGGAAAATAACCCTTTATTTAATCCAAATAATTAACAGAAAGGGACGATCTTTGTGTTTTACAATTGCACCGCCAGCTTGCAGTGAAAATGAAACGTAGAATATAAATCAAGTCAAAATCGAAAATAAAATAGTGCTGGATTAGCCCGTTAAGTTACGCCTAACAGGTTGACTCAACAAAAACCTAACAGGCGTGACAATAATCCGAAATGGCCAAGAGGCTTACTCGCGTATCAGCGAGATAGCAACGAAACGTGCACTGGCTAGCGAAAACATGCTCTGAATAAACTCAGAGATTCCCCCATTTAAATACTCACTTCACTTAACTTTAAAATTACATCTTGGAGAGAAAATGCGAGGGAAGTTGAGGAGTTCTGAAAAGGTATCAAATTTTAAATAAATTTGTTATGCAAAATAAGGGAAACCCTTCAGATTTAATGAATTCCGTTGGGTTTTTTTATTAGGAACATACAAAATACTCTTTAAGCAATCATTTTGGATTAGAGAACGGACTAAATCATTTTGCATTAAATTCTGTGGTGAAAATTGTTTCGATTTGCGCATATTTCGGATGACGAATTCTCTTCAGAAACGAATGAAGTTCGTGAACCTACTAGGTTTTACTGTACTTTAACCGTAAATGTTGCTTCTTAGGTAACACGAGAGTTGTGCACCGAAGTTTGAATTTACCAAATTTCAAGGAGGAATTTATAAAATTTTCATCCTTCAAGAAAGGAGGGATTAATTAGAAGTTTTGAAAGAGAAGACGTTTTAATGTAGGAAAACATCTACTATCCAAACAGCTCTGTTTGTCAAATTGCCAACCAGAAAGATTTATGGTCACATTAAAAAAGAAATTGTTGAAGAAGATTAAAAGTAATCTAATTTGTGACGAAAATCGTACTCATGAATAATTAAATATGGATGAAAAACGCTGGTGAATAATATAATTTTAGTTATGATTTGATTGTACCAATTTCAAATTGAACAAGAAATCGAATTCTGTAGGCCTATTAAATACTGGAGACTTTTAAGATTAGAAACAGCTACGTATTTGCTGAAGAAGCTGAAAACTTTGACTTATTTCCATTAAGGCTAAGGAAAGCAACAAGTTGTGTTAAGTAGCTCTTCAAACTGAAGAATATCTATTTGGACTAAATTATGCATTGTCTGCCCAGTTATGCGAACTGAGGTAGATCGGATAGTTGGTGTTCTATTATAGTATGTAGAATACTATAGTGATACACAAAAATTCAGTAGCAGCAGAAAATCAAATATAAAGAAAACTATTTAATGCAATCAAATTAAATTTAAGTTGATAAATTTATTATTATTATAACAATGCGGGTAGCCTCTGATTAACGCTGATTAGATTTCATTAACCTTAATTTATGATGAACTTTAATGTACTTAAGATTTTTTTTCTTTGGAATGTACGCTAAATAGTGATGGATGAATCATGAAGGAATATATTGTTTGTAGCACACTTTGCACAAAAAGAAAAAAAAAAAAAAAAAAGGAAAGTTCTATAGCTCCCGTTCTGGTGGCCGTATTGACGAAATTTAAGATTTATACATAAAATTGTTATAGGTATTCAGATACAAAATTGGACTTTTTCTGAAATGATATACTGATTTATTTCCATATTTCGATTCTACGACTCAAAGTATGCCAGAATATTAAATTTTATAAAATATGGTTAGAAACTGAGAAATTTAAAAATATATCTTGGCGCATATTTTTCAGAATGCGCCAAAAATAATTCACTTGGCGAAATTTGTAATTTATAGTAACCTATTTTCCTTTCCTTTTTTTTTTTTTTTTTTTTTCATTCTGTACGAGCGGAAAAAAAAGGACAGTATTCATTCTTTCAAATAATTTTAACAAAGTGCGTAAAGTATATTTGGCGTTATTATTGCTTATAAGAAACATGCCAAATTTCAAACGCGCCAATATATAAATACACGCATATCTTTGGGAAATTCTGAACAAAAACTCTATTCTTTTGCAGGTATGTCTAGAAATACATCTACTTTAAGGCAATGGTAAAAATTCTATAAGTTATAATTTCAACATTTTTCGAAAAAATTGTAAAAATTACTACAAAATACAAATTTTAAAAATGAATCAGAAAATAACAGTGAATATATTTGAGTTGAACTTAAATTTCGAACGAATAATTTTCATGAAAGAAAGAATCAAGTACGTTTAATAGAAAAGAAGATATTAATAAATATATACCATGTTCAATTAATGCTGAGGAACTAAAATTTTGAAAGCTAATTTTTTAAAAACTACTCGTATGACCTGTACAAAGCTTGGCACATTGGCATAATTTGAGTGGTAGAATCGAAATATGGAAAAACATTCATTCCTCAGGGTGGGGCCAATATAATGTTCCTAACTACTGCGTCGGTGCTGAACATAGAGGAAGTGGTGAACTGTGTATCGACTTATCGCTGGGTTCAAATGTATGACGACAAAGTTCAGAGAAGGGTTAAAATACCCTTTTATTCACTCACTTAAGTAATATTAATAGTCAGCTCCTTCTCGGGCATACAGGAAGCCTCCACTCGGGCTTCAGATCAAGATAAGAAAAATAAGAAACTAAACTGACTGAGCCGAAGCTAGACGCAAATGCCTAACGTTGTAGAGACATTAGGTATTTTTTGGAAGCCGAAAAGATGAAAAATTAGCAACGCCTTCGCCGGGAATCGAACTGCGCCTTCGCCGGAATACCTCTGGAATACGCGCCCAGCATGCAGACCACAAACACCACGAAGACATATTAAGAAGGCGGGAGAAATACCTTATAACGTAGTTGACCCTTAATTTGACTTAGCCGGCAGTTGACTTTATTTAGTTGATTTATTTTTTAGTTGACTGTTGACTTTATCAACAGGCACGTGCAGTACGGCCGAGCGTAGTAGGTGTAATTCCTTGCCTGTGGAATATATTTGAGAAAAGCACGCCAAAAATGGAATTTTTTTTCCTCTTTAATAATTTTCTTTAATATCATCAAAATGTTAGAAATAGATTATTTTAAAAAGAAAAACAAGATTTTAAACGAAATAACTACTATATTTAATATTTTCACATGTATGGGAAATGTTAATGGATTACAGTAATTTTTGCCCAAATTATAACAAAATAAATCAAATAACATAGTTTTTAAGATAAATATAATAAATTAACACAATATTATTATTTATATCAACTGTCATGAATTCCACGTCACTCAGTCTTTGACATGAATGGGCGAAATTTTGTGCAGTTTTGCATTAGGATGTGTTTCAAGGTCGACTTCTTCATTGTTCAAATGTAAATTTTTTCTTATCATTTGAAATCTGTCGTAGGCTATAACGTTGCGAAACAATGCAATTTCAAGACATGTCTTTTTTGTTCAAAACATCGAGACATCGGTCTTCTGAATAATACCCTGTTAAACATGGAGCAAGAGAAATATTTTCATTTCATGGTCATTTGTAGGTACCCACCTTTTTTGATCGGCTTTTTGGCTTCAGATGCTGCCTTTCAATGTACTGTTGTGCATATGTATTAGTCTCTTCCGTAATGGTGTGACTCAAATTGTCATCAGAAATAGTTCAAAATATTGTTTTCCTAGAGTAAAAGTGTCAATTGCTGTACCCACTTGTGGTTGTTGGACTGGGAATATTGGCGGGCCTAGAGGAAGGTTATTCGAACATAGCGGCATCCAGGCGTAGAAGAGTTTCACTTTCGTCATCACTTTCGAAATAGTCACGCTCTTCTGTTGAAATACTGGTATCTGAAGCATGAAGAACCTAACAAATATTCTTCATTATCATCTGATTCCGAATGAAATTTGGGAAGAACTGCAAAATTACAAAAATCCGACAAATGGCGCGAAACTGCCGAACTTTTCGCGGGAACGTATCGCTATCTATTGGAAAAATGGTAAATTATATATTATGCATTGAGCGAACTGAGTTTTGGGTTCACAGAATTTTGCTCTTGCCCGAACGCATTCTGTACTGCACCACGCGCATAGGGAAAATTACATCGTCGAAATTGGGTATGGTTTCCGATGAAATCATTTCGTCTACGCTTAGGAAGCCTTTGCTTAGGCTCGAGAGTACACCTCCATACCATTTGTTTACATTTTGATAGCAGTATCGAAAAGATTATTACTGTTAATAACGTGCGCTGTATTTTTGGTGCCATGAGATTACACTTTTTACGCCATTGTAGTGTGGTGAATTAAATTAAAAAATTGTAGTGAATTTTTCTCCCAGAGAGAAAAGTATTATTTCTTCTAGTGTGTTAAATTCGTAAATGTGTATTAATATTAGGTGCAGAGCTTTTTTAATAAATGTATTTTTAATTTAAAACCGTTCATAGTAAAAGTGTGGTGATTATTAATTCATTATTTCATGTTCATTATATACCCATTCTCTGCAGATGTTATCTCCGAAAATATGAGACAAGTCAGTTTTCGCAGATGGCAAAAATGTTGTGAGTTAACATAATACAGAATAAATTCACTATATAGTTGTAGTTAGTGAGGATAGAGTAAAATATATTTTTGAAGTTAGACTAGTATAGATTTGGATTAGAGAAATAAAGATACGTATGTTTAAATGGAATAATATTAGTTTATGAATATTGCCCATGTTTAATGTGTAATATATTTCCTATCTTTGGGATAGGTTGGCTTTGTTCTTTTCGGACAGATTATGGAGGACTCAAACACCTGCTTTGCTTATTTTTCTATTCTGCTTTAAATGTTCTTGGATGGTCGACCAAGAGTATTTGACATGGATTTGCTTCCACTTCTGCCCTTAGCATGTTGTTGTCGACATGCGCAGAAACGACATTACTTTCCGGTCCCTCTATTACTTACGAGCGCAAAGTGCCTTTACAGTTAGGTCGAAATCGTCGGGTAATCCAATGTGTTTTGGTTTTTGTACTAAATTCTAGAACTTGCTATTTATATAATCTAAGCGCTCAAATTTGCGTCTGGTATTAACAGCATCTTTAAATGGTTTTATAATTTTATTATTCCATAAAATAGGAAGCCATCTGCAGAACGCTGCAAGTAAACCTTTTCATCTGGCATTATTGTTAAAAGAAAACAAACGATAATTTTAACGTTTTCGTGTCACTCTTGCGCGTCATTCAACGAAAACAAATCCTAAGAATCCCTCCTAAACGTCAATACCCCAAGAAAAAATGATGTTATCGGAAAGTATGTCCAATCCTATGCGCGTGGTGCGGTACAGAATGCTTATATGCTGCCCGAATAATGGTCGGGCTTTCCAAAATTGTCGCATTTGCGTTGCACAAACAGAGTTCGGGCGTCACAGGCAAGGGGTTAAAAAGAACTCCTAAGCTGTCCTGCTGAAGCAAGCTGAACCTTCTTTAATACTCCTTCTACCTCATTTACATGCAACGCGATAAACTCATTCTGGTAGGGAGTTGTAAGTGGGAAACGAAATTTTAAAGGAAAGGGTTTCAAAATTAAAAATAACTGTTATAAAATTAATATATATAAATATCTAATTGCAACAGTGCCTTCTACCATCTCAACGCACCATTTCCACATACATGTGCCATTATAAAATCTGCTTATTTCTGTCTCTTCTCCTTGTCTTTATATTTTTTAATGCCTGTACTTTCCTTTTTTCTAGGTAAATAAGAATCATGCTGTGTACAATCTTTTCCCTTGAATTATGCATTTAATCTATTATAATATTCGTTCAATTCAGGGTGTTACTCTGGATACTCCATCTAGTTATAAACCTGTGCAGAAAACTTCTAAATCATAATCTATGATTCCTAGTAGTTTTTGTTTATGTTCCAGGCATTCTCGTTAATAATTTAACTTGGCGCTTGTGCCATGGCTGCATGTATCGGTCGCCACGAAGCCGACACGGTGTGCCAGAAACAATACGCCAGTGCAGTAGTATATTTGCCAGGTCTTGCGTCGTGCCGTCAGCTTGGCTTTTTGTGACTCTTCTCGATGGCAAGTATGTAGCATAAGTTTAATTAATCTAAACTTTGTAATTTAATGAAAGTGTGCTATATTTTCGAAATATCATTATTCATTCAGTACTGATATTAAAATTAAAAAATTATGTATTAGTAATTTTAAAATTCCGCTATTAAATTGCTTCATGAAAAGTTAAATGTATTACATCATGGTTGGGTTATGATTTGGATACAAGCGATCTAATTGTTTGGAATCAGGCAGTCGCCATCGATAGCCGCTGAAGACAATTTTGTATCCCAGAAAAGACTTTTGTAAACTTTCGCACTGAACAATTCGATGCTCAAATTATAGCAGGGCAACTTGAGATACTTCCAAACAACAGTGATGATTACGACATGATAGCAAGACATCTCAGTGAAAATGGAATTTGATTCCACACATTCATGATTAATGAGAAAATAATAAAAGCAGTTGTCATAGGTCCTTCTAACGACATTTCTGAAAATGACTTAGTTGAAGAGTTGAGTGAAACGAAAACTCCAGCTAAGAAGGTAAAACAGTTTTCCAGGAACAGAGACAGTAATGCTTGGAAAATTTCTGTGTGTTTTGTCTAGCTACCTATATGAATGATGAATGCAAGGCAATTTATAATGTTACTTATATCTTCAACATCAGGATTTATTGACAAGAGCCGGCCCGAGACAGTGTTATCGCTGGCAAACATTTGGCCATACGCAAACGGGATGCTACAATAATTGTGTCATATGTCCTGAAAGGTCTTTCCTGCCAATGCAAGATGCAGAGCGAAGACTTCGGAATGGGACTATTCACTGCGGACATTTAGACGTGGCCGTTTCGCCGTCGGGCCGTTTCGCCGTCAAGACATATTTTTCTTTACACAGCTGTATTATATCTGGCCATATTATATTAAGCTGATTTAAATTAATAACTATGTTTAATTTAATTTAATAAACATTTTATATAAAATAATATATATATAATGTTTTTGTCTACAGTTTTATGCAAATACACCGTTACACATATTAATTTTAAGAGAGTAAGGTGCTGATAAGATTCCAAGGTAATTCAGTTTTCCATTCAGATTTCATAAAAATGTAAATTTCCTGCTTGTATGAGTGATTTCTCTGAACTAGCCGATTAAAATTTCAAGAAATTTTGACGAATCATGTAAATATTGTACCCGTATAATTTTAAAATCGATAATATAACTTCTATTACATCACAAGTTTAGCCCCAGTTCTCTTTGATACTGACATAATTTTCCAACTAACTATGTGTAATTTCTGTATATCTCATACTTGTAAATAACTATATATTAAAAGGAACCTTTATTAAGTATACCAAAGGTAAAGAGAATTTAAATTAAATAAATTAAAATTGTAAACTAAATAAATTTAATACGAATATAATACGGCAAGCTAAAATACAGTCATGTAAAGAAAAATATCTCTTGGCGGCGAAACGTCCTGACGCCGAAACATCCCGACGGCAAAACGTCCCGACGGCGAAACATCCCGACGGCGAAATGGCTACGGTGAAAAGTCCTATAGACCAAGACAAGCTATACGAAATGCGGTAGTAGTTCTGACCAGCAACGTATAGCTATTGCCCTAATTATCTCAAGCATATGGATAAGCTAAATACATACTAGAAATAGCTAGGAAAAATGACTGAGTAATCTTCTGATGTTTTATGCCCTAGCGAAACCAAGCCCTGTGAAAATCCTCTCCGCAAAGGAAAGACTATTGGCTCCTACAGTGATGTGATTAAAATAATCAAGACTTTTGAAATACATGAATTAAAAGATGCTTTAAACTGCCTTGCTACAGAAGATACTTGCAAAATCGTAAAGAAGATTAGAGAATTTGCTAAAGAAATACGAGGTGCGACCACTGTTATCGAAAAAATCAGAATAGTATATTAGATGCAGTTTCTTCCCTGTACAAACTCAGAAAGAACATTTGAGTACATTGGTATCTTTTTTTCTTACTAATAGCAATGACTTGCTGTTTTCGTGAAGATTCATTTTTGCAAATTTCGCCGCTATGTGCGGTGCTTAAACGCACTAGACTCGAAACGAACAGTGATTGGTCGAAGAGCGTAAAGGGATGAGAAGGATTACTAGATGCCTCATTTCATAGATGTTGTCACAGGTTGCCCCGTGAAATCCCAGATACAGCATTCTCTAGGCGAGCGTTCAGATGACAGTATAGCTATTACAACTTGCATAAGCCGAACTTCGTGCGTTGCTGAACAACTAGCCACTGCTACGTCGCGGAAACTGGTATAAGGATTTTGTATAAAAGTTCTAATTTTTCAAATTTATGTCAAATTATAAGAACCTACCAATCACAGCAAAGCAAACACTAACTGACATCTGGCCGACGATTTCGTTCAATCAGCTGCACATTCACGGATCCGAAGTTTTATCTTCCATGACTGGCTATGGCTTAAAACCTGTTCCATGTGTGTGAAATTCCAAACGTGTGATCTTTTACGACTTATGACTGTGACTGTAGTAACAGCTATACTAACGTCTGAATGTTCTCTTCGGAGCCCTGCTTCCCTTTGATACATAATATGCATATTCTTAGCATATTATGAGGGAAATCCATGATCATAAGGAATTATAAGAATAATGTGGCTTCCCAAATATAAGAATTTAAGGGTCAGAGCCTAGTGGGGTTACTTGGTAATTAAACCGAGTCAGTTTTTCCGAATTAAAGCTTTTCGCGTAAAATAAATTTACAAAGTACTATGGGAAAGAAAGAAGAAAATGCTTGAATCAAACACTAAGGATAATTTCCGATTTGTAGTAGTAATAAATTTAGCTTTCGTGATAGGCTTCATTAATGAGAACTCAAAATTTCAGTCATCCGAGAGCATTAAAAAAACGCAGAGAAAGGATAAATAACCCATAGTCTAGTTAACAGGAAAAGCTGATATATACACAACATGACTTTCTTGTACTGTATATTAAATTATACTCATTTTTCTTGCATTTCATTTTAACGTATTTCCTCGAATTTCATTAGAGATATATAGGCCCACCAGCGGCCGAGCGGTAAAGTCGCTGAACACTGGTAGTTCGGTCCGAGGTTCGAATCCCGCGAACGGGCTGGCTGCATGGGCATTTTCGTGGTTTTGCCCTTGTGTAACGTGTATACGAGCCAGTTTCCCTTAAAAAATCCTACACGAAGGCATCCCTCCCCTTAGGCAGATAGTCCTAGTGTGCTTTGCCGTAATTAAATAATCCAAATCCAATCCATTAGAGATATAACTCTTATTAAATTAATTCAGTTCTCACTTCGCGGCAAGGCAAAAATATATAAAACCTCAAAATATCTTGATTTAGAATTGAAAGACAGAAAAAATAAAACCCCAAATACAGTTAAAACAGTTTTAAAAAACTATTTTTACAATTAAAATTACAGTTTCTACGCAAAAACGAGCAATTCAGCCAGCCGACTAGAAGGCAGATTTTTCGGGGCACAAAACTGTACTTTTGGTGGCATTCCGTTAAAAAGACACTTAAGATTCAGAAACTGACTTATGCCACTATTCTGCTAAGTTTCGAATGTAAGCAAATATGGTTGCTATAGTAAAAAATTTAGGCTTAGCCGCACTTAAACAACTTTTAAATTCTTGATAATTCTACAACTATTGCTTTCAGATTAACTAAAAGCATAAAAACCTTAACTGGAAGATGAGAACCACATAATTCAATCATTTTTAAAGCAAAAAAATGCCCAATTACCAACATATAAGCATAAAAAAACTGAGCACACGGAGCCGAGTAACAGAGTAAGTATATATGTATATATACATATTTATAGACTTTTAGTGCAGCTGATTGTAACCAAAAAGGGCGGTGCACGACTACATCTTATAGCAGTCCTATACACAAAATTCCAACGTTTTGAGGTACTGGTTTTTTAGTTATGTGAGATACATACAGATGTATGTACATAGGTGCAAACGCCACAAAAAATCTCTTCTGCATCCATTTTAAATCAGTTTTATAATTCGTTTAAGAAAAAGAGTTCTTATTTGTTTCTTGCGTCGATGCCGCAAGACATCGTTAATTGCGTTCAATAGCGGTCAAAATGGATATTTTTGTTGAAATATGGTACTTAGAATTTTTCGTGATTACAATACTTCCTTTACTTCGTACAAGGAAGTAAAAATACTGTTAATAATTTACTTGTATTTTTAAGCAGTTTAATCGAGGGAATAAGTTCATTTGGTAACATTGTATAGTCATTAGAATTTTAGAAGCTAGAAAATCGATGAAAAATGATCAGTGCCTTGCCGGGATTCGAACTCCGAACCTTCCGATGATAGATTTTTATTTACCTTTTTCCTGTATCTCGACAGAAGTCAACGTGAAACATAAGACTGATGGCTGAATATTAACTTATTTTTAGTATTTTAACGGATATGTTTTAGCAGTGCTTAAATATTTCGACTTATGCATAATAAAGTTATGTATTATGGTGGGCATAAGAAGCACCCAAATAGTGCCACTTCATCTGCTATTATTTTTTGCTATCTCAATCATCCTTAGCCCGAACATTATTTTTTAGTCTGGAACCTTACTTTTCATCGAATCATATTTTCTGCCGGTATCACTTTTCAGTTTAGGTTTATGTAATTACGCAAAGCCTCGAGGGCTATCTACCTAAGGGAAGGGATACCTTCGTGGAGCACTTTCTAAGGGGAAATGGTTCGTATGCACGTTATGCATGGGGAAAACCACGAAAACGCCCATGCAGCCAGCCCGTCGAACCTCGGACCGAACTACCAGCGTTTAGCGATCTACGGCTCGATCGCTGGTGGGCCCGTATCACTTTTCAAATTAAATACCATGAGATCGGTTAAACAGAGAAGGAAAACGCTGAATCATCACAATTGATCAGCGCTCAGATTAACTTGCAGGGCTTTATATATCACGTGATCGAAATTTCGTAGCTTTGAAACTGTAAAACTTATAGGTTATTGTGACATGAAAATGACAGTAACCCTCGCCGGGACTCGAACCACGGACCCTCGAACTAGCGTCGAGTTGCTGACCCACCCACGAAGGCATGCTATGAGGCGGGAGAAAACCATAAAACCAAAATGAAATTTTGTTTTCCATATGGGGGATAGAATGATAAGAAGAAGATAGCACCGGAGTGAACGACGTTGACGTATAAACATATAAAACTTTTTAAAATGCCGTTTGGGAAGCGTTAGGATCTGAAAATTTTCAGCTTTTATTACTATTATTATTATCTACGGCTTCGATCGCTGGTGGGCCCGATCCACTTTTCAAAGGAATAAATACCAGAGATCGGTAACAGAGAAGGAAACGATACTCTGAATCAATCACAATTGATCAGCGCTGCAGAGTTAACTTGCAGGGCTTTTTATAATATCACGTGATCGAAAATTTCGTAGCTCTTGAAACTGTAAACTTATTAGGTTATTTTGAAGCATGAAAAATGAGCAGTACCCTCGCCGGGACTCGAACCACGGACCTCTCGAACTAGCGTCGAGCTTGCTGACCACTACACCACGAAGGCATGCTATGAAGGCGGGAGAAATACCTTATAAAACAACCAATGAAAGTTTTGGTTTTCCATTATATGGGAGAATAGAATGATAAAAGAAAGAATAAGCAACAGGAGTGAATGCGACGTTGACGTATAAAACATATAAAACTTTTTAAAAAATGCCGTTTGGGAAGACGTTAGGATCTGAAACTTTTCAGCTTTTATTACTATTATTATTATCTACGGCTCGATCGCTGGTGGGCCCGTATCACTTTTCAAATTAATAAATACCATGAGATCGGTTAAACAGAGAAGGAAAACGATACTCTGAATCAATCACAATTGATCAGCGCTGCAGGAGTTAACTTGCAGGGCTTTTTATAATATCACGTGATCGAAAATTTCGTAGCTCTTGAAACTGTAAACTTATTAGGTTATTTTGAAGCATGAAAAATGAGCAGTACCCTCGCCGGGACTCGAACCACGGACCTCTCGAACTAGCGTCGAGCTTGCTGACCACTACACCACGAAGGCATGCTATGAAGGCGGGAGAAATACCTTATAAAACAACCAATGAAAGTTTTGTTTTCCATTATATGGGAGAATAGAATGATAAAAGAAAGAATAAGCAACAGGAGTGAATGCGACGTTGACGTATAAAACATATAAAACTTTTTAAAAAATGCCGTTTGGGAAGACGTTAGGATCTGAAACTTTTCAGCTTTTATTACTATTATTATTATTATTATTTTAAGATAAGACTCGATTAATCCACAATCTAGGTAATTCCCACTCGGTTAATCGGCAGTTCATTATATATAGACGGTTTCGCAAGTATATTTGTGCTTATGGTCGGGAATGCGGTAGAAAGACAGCTATAGACGTGTTTAGGGCGACTGTATTTAACCACATTAACGTTCATTTTCTCTTGGAGCAAGATTAAGTTAAAAATTATTTTTCTTTTAAAATGCTTTTGGGTTGTGATAAGCCAAGAACATGCGAAAGCATATATAAATGGTTATGTTCTTTCCTTTTGTGATATATTTTATGTATAACAGTTAACTCACATTGCTTTTAAAATGCGTATTATGAAAAATTAGAAAGAAATGGCGAAATAATTCATCGTTCCCAAATTTGTACTATTTTGCAGCTATTACGTGTGTTTGGCTTCGACTGCTCCTTGTGAAACAGAATCTGAGGAGAACAAGAGGCTTGTTGCTACATCCCAAATAATCAGCTGGATATTTCTGGTTACCACAGTGGCTATTGCGACACTAGGTAGGTATTATCTATAACTTTTCTCTCTGTTTATATAGAAAAGTTTTTACAGCTAAATTTTCTTAATACTAAGTAGTATTTACCATTAATCAAAAGCTTATAGTGTTATACAAAAGCGTTATAAACATAGAAAAGAGCCATTCGTTATACTGAATGGCGGTGAGATTTTCGATCACAAAATCTTTGAGGATACCGAGTCCACAAAAGTTATAAGTAGTGGTTACAATACACATTTTAACCATGCAAAAAACCAGTATTTGGCGCTATTTTGCGATTTCGTAAAACCGGTATTTGCTAAGGAAAAATATCAATGTTTTCGGTATTAGCTATAAATAATATTTTTTTTTTTAATTAAAGGGTTTAACTTAACTTATTGGGCATCTACTGTTATTTGGAAATACGTATGTTTTTCCTCGATGTGGGAGTATCAACATCAGTCATTTGCTGTCTCACTTCAGTTCCAATCTCCTATCTTTGTCTGCGTAATGTCAATACTGACTGAGTCGGATATAGCAAGAATACCGCACAAATGCAGTATCTCTGCCTCAGTAATAATAAGGCGTAAAGGCACTTCACATAATACTATCCGAACCTAGTATCCCGAAGGAAAGAGGAGGTAGGTAAGGGGGGGATCGAACATCACACGGCCAAAGTAACAACAAGCGATCATGGACTACAAGTCGGTGAAGAGTTTGCGTAGGTCTTCAGTGTAATACATATACACATACAAGAGAGGCAAACATATATTTACAAGTAAATCATCATAAAAAGTAAAAATATGTACAGAAATAATTACAAATATATACAACAGCGAAAATTAATGTGGACACGAAATTAAGTGGGGAAGTTGGAGGCCACCGGTGACGTGAGCCGCGAATGGTCTGATATTGCCGTTTTCCTTAAGAACAAGATATTTAAGTGTGTTCAAACTGTTCAATTGAGGGCGGTCAAAAGCTTTAACAAAGAAGTTCCTCTTAAATCTAGTGCAAATGCTCTTCTATTGTATCCAACTTTAGGTCCCTGTGCAAAGTTGCATTGCTCACATAATAATGATAATTTGTAATAATACGTAGTACAGAGATTTGAATCAGTTGCAGTCTATTTATATCCCTTTTATTTGCGGTGCACCATGCCGGCGAGGCGTAGGTGATTATAGGTCGAATGCTCATGATATACATTTGTCTCTTCCTACGAAGATCGAGGCACGAAAATTTATTTAGAAGTGGCCTGAGACTGTTAATTACTCCGAAGGCTTTCTTTCTATCATTAGTAGCATGATCCTTCCATGTTAACTTCTTATTGAGTAAGACCCCTAAGTAATTTGGAGATTTGACTTGGGGTATTTCTTCACCAATTAGCATAAGTCTTGTCTTTAGAGGTGTTCTCGTATGTTTTCTCCTAATAATTAAAAATCGAGATTTAGTGGCATTGATGGAAATGCGCCAATGTTTACACCAGTCCTCAATATTAGGCATAATACTTTGTAGTTTCATAACTGCATGGTCAGCATTCGCAGACTTTACAGCCAGGGCTGTATCGCCTGCGTAGCAGTCTAAGAAGTGATTTCTGTCTAAATGGGATCTGGGAAAGTCCACTACATAGAGTAAATACAAAATTGGGACCCCTGCATTCATAATTTTGGTACTTGAGCAATCATTTCCAATGGAGACTGTGAAAGATCTATTCGTAATAAAGGACACTATAAGCTGAATGCTCTCTCTGTCAATATTAGCACTATAAGTTTGAAGATAAGTCCCTCATTCCAGACGCGGTCGAAAGCTTTCGCTACGTCTAGCATGAGGATGGCAACATTTTAACGGTTGTTGAGAGCCTCAATACAAAATTCAGCAAGCCTGACCAATTGTTTGGTCGTCGAGAGTTTGCTGCGAAAGCCAAACTGTTCTGGCGGAAGTACTGAAAGGAAAGGCTTTAGTCTGTTGAAAATTATCGTTTCATATATTTTACCAAGACCTCATAAGAGTAGGCTAATCGGCCTATAGCTCTCAGCTCTGGTAGCATCCTTGCCAGGCTTCGGGAGTAAAATAATCTTCGCATGCTTCCGTAAATCTGGGAAGTAGCTAATATTTAAACATGCATTTACGATACCAGTAAACTTTGCAATGACATTTTAAGGAAGATTTTTGATAGCAATATTGTTAATATTATCATGTCCCGGCGCCTTCCTTGTCTTAAGCTTTTTAATAAGCTGCTTTATTTCAGTCCAAGTAGCAAAATTTGGAAGCTTTCTCGCAGTAGGTGCATTAAGTGAATCCTTAACGCTGTAGCATACTTCATACACGAAATTTAAATCCCTTGGAGTTCTATTTGATTGGAATTAATGCCAATAACAAGTCTAAAGCGTATATGAAACATAAACCTCATATCACGTGATTCGACTCCACCAACCATCTTTCATCGGAATGTTCATACCTCGATTTCTTTGCCAGGACCTCACAATAGCCTCATAGTTATTGCCACGCGATGATCTTCAGGTTTATTGTTTTTTCTGAATAATGCTATGCTACCATTTTCAACTGCAGGTAATTTGTGCTCAAAAATACTTTCCAGGCAGTCAGGCAGGCTTAATGGCAGTCCAATAGATGCATTATGAGTTTTACGATCACATTTAAAAAGTATGCAGTTAGTAACTTTTTTCATGTTAATAGATATTATGTAACAGACTACGCAACAATATAGGATATTTACTATTCTTAATAATAATACTATATGTTTTGTTTCTTTATTGTATTGTAATACTGTAATAGCTTATTTTTAATGCTATATTTTTTGTTTCTAATGTTATATATTATTATTTTACTGCTCTTATTAATAATATAGAATTATAGCATTTGTTCCTTTATTTTGTATTTGTACTTAACAAAACTGTTTATATTTTTATAGTTTATGCGTTTTCTGTCTAAAACTAATAAATATGGCAGAGAAACAATTGTGTTCTTTTGAAAAGTTCATAATATCGATATTCTGGTACAACGTTTAAAAAAAAAAAAACCCAATACCGGTAATGTATTTTGGTCTGGTATTGCAGTCAATAGTCAGAAGATATCCAGTTTCTTATGATTTACATCTCTACTATAATTTTTCCTTTTCGGTGTCTCTCACCAGGATTCAAAAGGGGTTATTTAAGGCAAGAGTTTTGAAAGTTCTAAATACAGATCTTATGGCAGCGATGCTCCCAGCTTTACTTTCTCTCGCCCAGCCCTGCTAATTCAACATTCCCACATTAGACATTTTGATAGCCGAAGTTAAATCGTGCATTAAAAGTTTTCACCAAGTTTAATTATGCCAAATTTGTGCAGCCGCAGGCTAAGAATCAATTTTAAATTGTAAATTTAATTTTATGTTATTTAATATACCGCCTCCCAGAGGAGATAGTAATTAGTGACGCTGACTTCAGTACCGAAAGGCCCGGATCCGAATCCCGGAGAAGGCATGAATGTTTGTAAGCGTACAGTATCTGCGCACCAGGAGGTACTCAAAATCCACGTGAACCGAAATCCTCTCAAGAGGATGGTGGCAAGAAGAGAGGGATGGGAAACTTTCGGACTGTCTTATGAGGTAGACTTCCTCGAAACTCAGTCTAGGGCGGAAGCTTAGCAGTTTACAAGGCCCAGAGATACCTAATATGCCTAGATGAATCCACAGTTACATGTCTTGCTTCAACCTGCACCTGTTATTTAATATCCTCCAAGTGGTGAAATTTGATCTTACGCACAATTTCTACCTTTGTTAAAGCTTTTTTAAAAAGTTTTGTTTAAAACCTTCGTAGGATGTTGTACTTCCATAGACGGAGCAATAACTTCCTTGGCAACCGTTGATTATACATATGTACTTCCAATAAGAAAAATGTTTCAAAATGACCCAAAGATTTATGTTTTAGCATTTTTAAATTAAAAAAAAAAAGTTGATTTCAGAAAAATTACGAAATATAGTTCTTAATACTGCTCCCGGATCCATCTACTTCGAATTTTATGCTCATTTTGGAAAATGTAAAACAAAGCGTTTGACTCCCGTGCTACAAAAATCGATCGAGATATTTAATTTCAAAATCTAAGATATTTAAAGTCATTTTCAGCTTGTCTTTAGGGATAAATCTAGCTACCAACCTTGGAATATAAAAAACTGGGAGGTTCTTGCGTCCCAAATCGGAAGGTAATCCAGCTGAGCAGCGGCACAATTTCCAAATTGACTTAAATTCCCATTATAAAGTATGATTCAAGTTACTGAATTATTTCTAACACGATTCTGATGTAAAACGTATTGTTACGAATTTGGTATTTAAAAAGCTAATGTTAGTTCAATTATAAATTAAATGGTTTTATTTCTCGCGCAGTGCAGCGCGTGACGAATATTAAAAGAAAGCTAAGCCGGAAAATTGAAAATACAAGAGCGCGTACATTAAATGAATAAATAACTCTTTTTTGATTTCGAGAAAGTACTGGAAAATTCTAGCGCGTGATTTTAAAATGTTATAAAAGGAGGAAAACATCTCAGTTTGTAGTAGTTGCTTAGTTTGTTGTTGTTTAGAAAACTGCTCTTGTTGATTGTAGCGAATTCGCGGATTAGCTTTCTTTAGCTGTTTGAATTACGTTCTATTGGACATTTGAGTAGTTAAAAGGTAACTACTGTGAGATATTGTAATACTGCATGATAATTTGAGAAAATTTAAGCATTTTTGTTGTGATAATAATAAATTTTTGTTCATTTTTCATCGGACTTGTGCATTCATTTCATAACGAACCCGTACGCACCCAACAGTATTAATACTTAATTACACGCGCCCAGCGTGCAGACCACCACACCACAAAGGCACGCTAAGAAGGCGGGAGAAATACCTTATATACTTCCCCTTTTAAAGGGCAACTGGGGTTTTCAGAGGACTCAATCGCAAATCCCGGGTGTGGAAAATCATCATCCATCACCCTTTTAGCTCGGGCGCCAATGTAGAGACATTGGGATTTTTTTGGATGTGAAAAATGAGCAACG